TCAAACGGGGCGATGGAAGGTAACCCCAAGGAGGGCAATTTTTGATTGAGATGTTCGTAGGCTGTGTAAGAGTAAGTTAGGTGGCAGCAGGGAAAAATGACCTAATTTGGATGTTTGAGGATAGATGGGGGAGGGCGATCGGTATTTAAATCATGTCAAGAGGATGCAAAAATAATTCCGGTAGAGCCTGTTTCTGAACAACAAAAGACCAAAATTTATTGTGATGTGGAGGGGGGGTGCTCAGGACACGGGGAAGGTAAGAGAGTGAGTGGTACGGAAATGGAACAGAAGAAAAACAAGTTTGAGTTGAGACAATGGGAGGAATCCAGGTATTGATTGTGGAAAATGAAAGAGCTATCAGTTTGTTGATGTAGGGGGAAGGTGATGGGGGATGGGAAAGGGAAGAAGGTGGTATGGAAATGGTATAGAGAAATTCAATTTCGGTTTGAAACATTGAGACCAGCGCCAGATAAGCAGGGATTCTGGGCAACTACAGACGGATTAGGTTGTGAATGTGGCAATTCAGTTGTTCAGAAATCGGAACAAAGATAACAATATGTTGAGTGTAAGATTCCAACGGGGCGATGGAGGTGACCCAAGGAGGGAATTGTTGATGATATGGTCTTAGGCTGTGTAAGATTAAATGAGTTGGCAGCAGGGAAAAATGACCTAATTTGGATGTGGAAGAGGTGTACAGGAAAGAAGTGATGACCGGTTGCGGGTGGGGTGAGTGTGAAGATGGAGGTGGCCCGACAAATTAATTGTTGATGGAAAAGTCGTGGGCTTGGCAAGAGTAACTGGGGTGGCAAAAGAGCAAAAATGACCTTATTTGGGTTTGGAAGAGGTGTACTGGGAAATTCTATGGCCGGTTTCGATGTTGAATTGAGTTTAAATGGAGAAGGAAATGGGAGTGAGAAGGATATAAAAGGAGGGGGTGAGTAGGGAGGGATCGAGCCGATGGGGAAGGCAGGCAACGGGATGTGTGGGGTATTGAACAACTACCTTTCGTCCCTACACATGCCGTGGCACTGAACCAGCATCAATGACACACACAGGAGTAGAATTAGGGCAGAAATGCTGCTCTTGAAAACAGGGTCTCGACGAATTTAGCTGTGTTTAATAGCGGGATAAGAGATAATTTTACGGATTACCTCGAATATTGACGTCTAGACATTCACTTCCATGCCCCCCCCCAATAACATGCTCTTTCCATCCAATGCAGACCTGGATTTGATCAATAAAAAGAGCCTTCAAAACAATAGGTCTTGGCCTCAGACGTCAAATGGAGAAGAATTGACCAATCCATCGTCGGGTGTCCCACATGAATCAAGGAATTAAAATTATTGCATTGTGTCTCTAGGATTCCCCAGGATTCCCCCTTCCTTCACCAGGAATTTTTCTACCATTCTTTTGTGGTTCTCAGTAAAAAAAACACAATGTGCCTATATACAACAATAGGGATTTACGCTCTTGAGCCATGGGATGATAATTTCACAAGGTATTTCTCGCCTAGAAAGAGGCTAGACCCAAGAGTGGGCATTTCTTGTTATCCCGACTTCCAACACGGTCTTAATGGTATGGGGGGGGGGCATTTCTCGTGTCGACGTCCTCATGCGTGATCTCCCGGTGACAGGGACGACAGCGCAAGTCCAGTTGACAGGTCTGTGACATATTTGGAGGTAACCATTTCAGGTTGAGCCCACTTTTTTTTGGGCTGGAGCAGGGGAGGTTGACTTCGATCGCAATCGAGAATTAGCAAGTTGGAAGAATACCAAAAACCATTGTCGACCGTCGATCAAAGACTTGTACAACAGCTTAATATTCGTTGGTTAAAGCTGACAAGTACAGACTAGTCTCAGAAAAATAAAATATCCCATCGTCATTCGTCATGTCTGCCCCAGTCATGGTCATGAGTATGTTTTCCAATCTCCTTGATGGGTCTTTCTCAATCGAACCTCACACTGATCGAACGTTCTTCCAACTCTCCTGATAGATGCTGCGGCCCCACAACGCCAGACTGGTCGAAAGGCCCAAATCTCTAATATCACCGCTGCGAAGACCGTCGCGGATGTGATCAGGACGTGTTTAGGTCCCAAGGCCATGTTAAAAATGGTACATCCTCCTTAACTCTCAAGACAGGCTCTATCCCCCTCGCAAGCTCCCTGAGAACATCGTAGATTCTAATACTCTCGATGAATGTGTTTTGTTTGTGTAGATCTTAGACCCCATGGGTGGTATCCTGTCAGTTTGAATTTCTTTACTGAAAACCGTAGTCATCATCATCTTTCCTTCCAAACCGACTTCTGACAATCCACGCAGGTTAACCAACGACGGGAACGCAATTCTCCGAGAAATCGAAGTGGCCCACCCTGCCGCCAAGTCTATGATCGAGCTAAGTAGGACGCAGGATGAAGTGAGCTTAAGTTCATTGAACCCGGCCTGTATCTATTGATAGTTGATCGGAAAAGCTTGCTGATAGACATGCCCCTCAGGAATGCGGTGATGGTACAACATCAATCATCATCCTCGCTGGGGAAATCCTTGCCTCTGCTCTCCCCCATCTGGAACGTAATATCCATCCCGTCGTCATCATACGCGCTTTCAAACGTGCTCTCGCCGAGGCTCTTAGCATCATCGACCGAATATGTATCACCGTCGATGTCACGAATGACGCTGAAATGTTGAAGCTGATCAAGACTTCGATAGGCACCAAGTTCAGTAGCCGATGGAGTCCCATGATGTGCAAGCTAGCTTTACAGGCAGTCCGAGTCGTCAGTACCGAGGAGAATGGTCGTAAAGAGGTGGACATCAAACGATATGCTCGAGTCGAGAAGATTCCGGGCGGAGCAATTGAAGACAGTCGTGTATTGGACGGTGTTATGTTGAACAAAGATATCACTCACCCTAAGATGAGAAGAAGAATCGAAAACCCTCGGATCATCCTTCTCGATTGTCCTCTCGAGTACAAGAAGGGAGAAAGTCAGACAAACATTGAACTCGCCAAAGAAGGACAGTACGAGCGCTTCCTGGAGATTGAAGAAGAGCAAATCAAGGCCAGTTGTGAAAAGATCATACAATTCAAGCCTGATCTCGTATTTTGTGAGAAGGGTGTTTCAGGTACGTGTTTTCTTCTACTTTTGCGTAATCGCAGAACCAGTCCAATTTGAGTAATTGAAATTTTTTATCACTTTCTCTCAACACAGATCTTGCTCAGCATTTCTTCTTGAAAGCCAATGTCTCTGCCATACGGAGGGTTCGAAAATCAGACAATAACCGAATTGCTCGAGCGACTGGAGCCACGATTGTCAATCGAGTCGAAGATCTCAGAGATACTGACGTTGGGACGCAATGCGGTCTATTTCACGTGGAAAAAATTGCTGATGAGTCAGTCCAATTCTTCATCTGGTCTTCTTATCTGACTGAAGATCTGACTGACTGAGTATGAGTTTTCTTCAGCTATTTCACGTTTCTTACGGGCTGTGAAGACCCGAAAGCCTGTACTATCATGCTTCGTGGTCCTTCCAAGGATATCATCAACGAGATTGACCGAAACCTGGCAGATGCTATGGCGGTTGCTCGTAATGTCGTCTTCGACCCACGTCTTGCACCAGGGGGTGGGGCTACTGAGATGGCAATCTCAGTAGGACTGGCCGCGAAGTCAAAGACCATTGAAGGGGTCGAAGGTTGGCCCTTCAAAACTGTGGGAGAAGCTATGGAGGTGATCCCAAGGACATTGATTCAAAACTGTGGTGGAAACACTATTCGAACTTTGACCGAGCTGCGAGTAAGATCTAGTTCCACATCAACTCATTCATATGGCATAAGCTGATCAACAGCTATGTCAACACAGGCTAAGCACGCCAATGGTGAGCACGAATATGGAGTGGATGGTGATACCGGCAAGATAACAGACATGAAAACAATCGGATTGTACGAATCGGCAGCTGTGAAAGTTCAGATCATGAAAACCGCTGTCGAATCTGCATGCTTGTTACTCCGAGTTGACGATATCGTCTCTGCCAAGTAAGTGAATTTATGGATCCAAACAGCAAAAAAAACAAGTTACTAATTCAGCTACTTAACTTTTCTCACAAAGACGTCCTCGAAGACAGGATGGTGGTGGTGCGCCGCAGACTATGGGCCGCGGGTGATGGAGGCGATGGACCAGAGCAATAAAGCAATTAACCTTTGACCTCGGATACAACCGTTGACACAACTTATGAGGCCAAGTCTTGTACAACTTTATAGCGGTAGAAGAAACACGAAAGTTGAAAAATATCAAATTTTGCTCATGTCGTATTGTCAAGTTTTAGAATCGGTGATTTTCATTCCATCTCACACCACCGTCGTCAGTCTTGATAGTAGCACATACAACTGTCTCGTCCCACAGTCGAGTAACTATTTGTATGTGACATATGAATGGACAACATCAAAACGCAGCCATGGTGATACAAGATTTCCGCATTAAAAGTAAAAAGCAATGATTCAGTCCGTAACGTCAGTGGATGCAAATGTTTGGCGGTCCACATAGAAATGACTTTGTAGAGTTATGTTGCCTGTTGAGCTTCCATGTGGGGATAGGGAGTGACTGGGGCACAAGGGAGATCACCACACAAGCACACCTAACTTAACCCGAGCCCCTTGCCGAGGGCCGGTGTTGTTAATTCTTTGTGAGAGTCAAACACTCCCTACATGAAAATAAAAAGAACTAGGTAAGGTATGCAAGCATCTCAGCTTCCAGGTAGTTTCTGAGGCCCTATTCATCAGCATGATAAATTGTGTGAGGTCAGGTGAAATCGTGGTGAAACCTCACTTTTGGGGTGAGATTCTTTACATTTCGAAAAAGACAGATTATTCATCACACTCAATTATGATGTAGGCCCAAGTCAAAAATTTACGGATGATGATATGGTTTTTGCCTGCTGAAAAAGAGAATGATCCATGTGTTGACAGGAAGAGGCACTAGTGGAAGCCTTTCTAGCCATTTTTTCTTGTGATTGCAATAGGAAAAATCCTCCATGAGGGAAAGTAATCAGGGGTCTGAAACTCTTTCCTACAATCTCCTTAAATGATCAATTCATCCTTCTTCACTTCCCTCCAATATTCTCTATCCTTATTCTCTTTCTACTCATTCCATAAAGAAAGGATTTTTGTCAGCTCTGGTCTTATGACAATCTCATCGACCGGAAGGAATTCCTTCCGGTCAATGAGGTTGTTATACCTCATCGACCGGAAGGAATCCCTTCTGGCCAATGAGGTTGTTATACCTCATTGACCGGAAGGACTCCCTTCCGGCCAATGAGTTTGTTATACCTCATCGACGGAAGGAATCCGTTCTGATCAATGAGTTATAACAAGATTTTTGTTTCTTGTCGACCGGAAGGAAATCCTTCCGGTCATGGGAGCAACGACTCCCAAACCCCCTCAAGCATGAGGGGTGGTTTGGGGCGCCAACTCCCTGAAAATTAAAAAATTAAAAAACAATTTGATGGCCGACTCCCAAAGTTGGCCATTGATTTGGAGGAACGACTCCCGCCCAACGACCCCTCAACCAAAATGGGAGTTGTCGGCTAATTTTTGGGAGTCGTTTTTCCAACCCCCTATATATTATGTAACCCAGGGGGTTACATTATCTTGTAGACATCTGGAATAGTGTCTCAGTGTCTGACAATTTTAGAGCATTTCACAAATATGTGGTTACATCACACACCACATGCAACATTACTGTGCCCATACAAAATATGATCCAATCCTTCTTTCAATCTATCCTCTTCTACCTTGGCTGAAGGGTGAGATTACAATCTTGACTGAACTTTTCTTCTTTCTGTTTCTCATATCATATCTATACTGATTTTGCTTCTTCAGTTTCCTTGTCCTGCCTTCCTTTCAGTTCTTTCTCTTTGTTCTCAGTCTTGTCATGACTCATACTCCTATTTTCCTCAATTTTGATTTTCTTAGTTTTTTTCTTTCTCATTATTTTCTCATATGTGTTTATTCAATCATATCTTATTTCTTTATTCCCAAGCATTGTAGGTTGATTTAATGTCAGGGAGAGTCTCTACAGTGGCCACCACCAAATAGGTTAGATAAATTACACACTGCCTCAGGAATGATAATCACTGTGAGAAAATCTGATGCAACTGGTTGCAGTTGACATGTGGGGAACTTCAACCGTAACTTGGTTATTACTGAGAATTATTCCAGAATAATTGTTTCTGCGCAGTGACTGTGCATCAAGGTTTGACTCAAGTAACTCATGAGTAACATTTGAGTTACAGCACAAGTTTCATCAGAGTTCCCACATGTCAACTGCTGGAAGTTACATGAGATTTTTTCACAGTGAATGAAGATAAGAATGAGGAGAAAGATTGAGAAGAATAGAGTCAGGGTGAAGGTAATACATAGAAGAAAAGATGGTCTAATAGGCCCCAGGAACTGTAATTGGATTATATTTCAAATATAGTAAGCACATATGATTGATAGATAAAAAGTGATAGTTTCTGATTAATCTGAGGGTCAGGTCAGTCTTAGTGACTCCTCTTGTTTATGTACTGTATCTTTTGTGTTTTGAGTGATACATGAAATCTATCATTGGGGCAACTTGATCCCAATTAACTGGTAAAAGCTTGAGCTATGATGCATATGAGGAATTAAACAAATTAAGACAGACATCCTTGAGTTATAGATCACCCTGATAAATGATCAGAAAGGCTGAGCTCTAGTGTGTTTTCAAAACCATCATGAGGTTTTTTTACTCAGTTGGATTTCTTCCACTGTCAATTGAATGATCTCAGCTACCTGTCCCCCAGCTGATATCAATCAGTCACTATCCACTGGCAGACTCCAGGAATAGAATTTACCTTGTAGCTCATACCGTCAGGCTGGGGTTTCCAGCTGGAAAATTTATTGTCTCCACTGGTGGGTCAATTTGAGTGGTCTCCTCCCAGCTGCAAAACAATTTCCACAAGCTGATAGTACAGTCCACTCACCAAGCTGCCTCAGAAGATTTATTTGCCCATGTGAAGCAGGAAGCACACATTATCAGAAGTTTCCTGTTGTGTCACCACTACAGACACATGGATGAGTGTAAACTGCAGTTTGAAAAGTTTACACAATGAAATTGAATCTTCGTGACTTTTTGGTGCATGGTATTTTTTGGTTGGCCCGAGCTCACACCCATTGCATTTGGGAGGTTGATAGGTTGGTGAATTTTTGGGCCTTTGCACTCAAATATGAATTGTATTTTCCACAAAGCGGAAACCTTCACATCTTTTCTGCTTTTGTTATGGAAATAATAACTCTTGAATCTTATCTGGTTTTATTTTATCTGAGATTTATCCCATCAGGTATCCCACCCTTTGCGTTTTCCTCACGGCTCCAGCAACCTGGCGCTCAGTCATGAACTGCCCTACAAGTATTTATTTGCTCACCTGTTCAATGCAGCAGGGAATGGCAAAGTTAGCAACGGGGACATTGGTGGCAGTTTCCATCCTGGTTTCAAGAGTTTGTATTCTTCAGAGATCCTAGGAAGAAAGGCAAGTAGAATTATCATGGGAATAGCCCTTGCGACAAACCATAAAAACTCGAAAAATGAATAGTTTAGAAAAAAAAAGGCATTCATCTGCACAAAAAAAGCATTCCAAGCTTTCTGAAAAAGATAACATGTGTCCATAGCCATTTAATGTTGGGGGAATTTCTGAATTTGAAGGCTTCAGGCGCCATAAGATTGGGATGAGCTGTGAGGAGAGCGAGAAAAAGGCTCCAATCAGGCCATTAAAGCCTCGTATCAGCCTGGCATGCCCGGAAGGCATCACACCGAATGATCTTGACCGCAAGCTCTTGTGAGTTCACCTTCGGACCAATGGAGGGTCGAGACTTTGCTTGGGCTTGCCGGTTTACCTGGGGCTATTCACAAATCGGGATTTTCCCCCACAAGGGTCTGCCCTCTCTCCCTTTTCAAGCTGCTCAACCTCCAAACTACTGTGCCAAAGAAAGCATCCTTGTACCAGCCCGAACAGATGGGTGATTCGCAGCCCGATGATCTCCAGCTACTTTGCTTTAGATTGTTCACCGCTTGAGGATGACTGGTTAACTTTTACAGCGTATAAAGCTGCAGCGATGTTTCTTCCATCAAGAAGACACACATGTCAGATATCCGTACATTTGGCTCTCTCAAGCTTCACCAGCCACCCACCGTCACAAACCAAAATCACGATATCACCCAGGGGCTATTGTGGTTAGAAATCCCCCCTCAAACATCTTGATTCCCTGCTCTTTCATCTCACATCGTTCAACTGTTACCGCATCCATCTTTTCCATTCTTGACATGGGGTTATCAATCCTTATGATGCTTGCCCTCATGGCTTTGATGAGGGCCAATCCTCTGACCGCTGCTCATGTGGAGCATCGCCGTTTTGATATTCCCACTATCCCAATTATTGGGTCCCTCTTCGAAGGTAAAAGCTTTGATTACATCATCGTAGGGGCCGGTACGGCGGGAATGACTATTGGTAAGTTGCTAGATATTTTTTGTTTTGGAACTAATTGCGGGTGCTGAGAGGAAGGTCATTCTTCATTCTCCAAATCTTCTTTCTAGCTGCCCGTCTATCCGAAGATTCAAATGTTCGTGTTGCTGTGGTGGAAGCAGGAATTGACTATGCTTTGTCAGTTATTAACAAACCGTTGGTCAATGTGCCTGGATCTGATACCATAGGATGCGGCGGCAGTCAGGGTGAGTAACAGTTTATCAGTTCATCTTTGAGTGAGACTTGGATATTTATTTCTGCAAGGAGTTGACCAAGAACAAATATGTAAACAAATTTGTAGGTGACGCTCTTAATGACGCTGTTGATTGGCTGTTCAAAACCACACCCCAATTGGGAGCCAATAATCGTTCAGTTCGCTATGCTCGAGGGAAAACTATTGGGGGCAGTTCCGCACGTAACTTCATGATCTACCAACGAGCATCAAAGGGATCTCTGGACAAATGGGCTGAACTGACTGGCGATCCCGAGTGGACCTTCGAAAACCGTCTTACTGATTATCAGAAGAGCGTGTCATTCACTGCTCCCAAGGTTGGCTATGATTTTGGAAAGAAAAATCCAAAACAAGGCGGTATAACAACTGACAAAAAAATGTGTGTTACACTGTACAGCATGAATTACGTCAGGAGTTACCGGCAGCTCAATACGCCAATGAAGCTTTTACCCAAGGAAATGGGCCAGTTCAAATCTCATACCCCAACATGGCCCAACCTTTTTCCAAGTACATGCAACTCAGTCTCAACGAGAAAGGTATTCCAACCTGTCAGGACTTTAACCGAGGAACGTTGAGTGGAGTGCAATACGCTTCAACCACGATTGACCCGGAAAACGGCCATCGGTCTTCCTCGCGCTCCTTCTTCGCTGCTGCACGTTCTCGGAGTAATCTGGTGGTTTACACTACTGCCATGGTAAAAAAGATCACGTTTGATGAGTCCACGCCGCCACGAGCGAATGGGATTGAGTTTGTTTACACATTAACCGGCACCTCTGAGAAGCTATTTGCAACGAAAGAAGTCATTGTTTCAGCGGGTGCTTTCCAGTCTCCACAACTCCTTATGGTTTGTGAGTAATATTAAAATAAGAGTACTCAAAGCACGTTGGGAAATTAAATTTTAAACAATGCACTGATTGGAATACGACTTTGATAGCGGGAATTGGGCCCAAGGACCAGCTCACAGCCCATCAAATTCCGATTCTTGTAGAAAATCCCAATGTTGGACAGGGAATGCAAGATCAGTTGAGTCATTTTGCCATGATCTATCTAGATGTGCATCATTATCTTCCACTCATATTGCTTCATCATGAAAATCAAGTATATTCTTTGGGCCTACCTACCCAGTCCATTCTATTGAGACGCTCACTCGCATCGCGGCCCACCCCGACTATCTTGCCACTCAATTATTGAACTTCACTATTCGCGCACAAGGTCCCCTTTCAAATAATGTCGCAGATATGATTTCGTTCGAAAGATTTGACAACTCAAAACTTCAGGAACTCAATGCGGATTCCCTTGCGACCTACCCTGCCGATTGGCCTCACATCGAATATTTGAGTGCAGCTGGTGTAAGTGGTAGCCCTGCTCCAGTGGAAGCGGGTAGCTCCGAGTGAAATCTGGATAGCATTTTAATAAACTTTTCTTATATCTGCAAGGTCGTGGGCGATTTCTCAAATCTACTCGTTTCAAATGCGATAGCTGGTGCGACCACTGGAAAAGAGTTTGTGACCATTTTGGCGGCCTTGGTCGCCCCACAGTCCCTCGGGACGGTCAAGATTGCTTCAAGCGATGCATCCGTTCCTCCCCTGATTGACCCAGGATGGCTTACTGACCCTATCGATCAAAGGATTGCTGTCGAAGCTTTCAAACGAACCAGGGAGTTTTTCTCAGCTCAAGCTATGCAACCTATCCTTGATGGCCAGGAGTACCTACCAGGTCTCTCTGTTACTAGTGATGATCAAATTCTGGAATGGATCAAGAATAACCTCATGACAGGTACGCTCCTTCCTTCAAAAACTTTTGATATGAGCTTTACACGTTAGTTTGAAGACTAACTCTCCATGTCAATCTTAGTGTGGCACGCTGCTTGCACTTGTGCAATGAAAAACCAGGAAAACGGGGGAGTCCTTGACTCCCACTTCAGGGTATATGGCACTAAGAACCTTCGTGTCGTGGATGCATCCGCCTTTCCTTCTTTGCCTCCAGGTCATCCCACATCCACTGTATATATGATTGCTGAACGAGCTGCTTCTTTGATAAAAGAAGAAAACTTGTAAAGAACAGCCCTTGAATCTCTTGCAATATTTTCATTTTTCTGATTTTTTTTAATTCCCTCCTTCTGAGAGGTTTTATGTGTGGTTCATCAGGAATTGTTTAGCTCTGATGTATGTTTGTGTTTAATCTGTATGATGTCTTGGGTTTGCTCTTTCTCTATGCTTTCTAGTGTACTGTAAATTGTTTTAAAGCACAATCTCATCATGTTTTCACTTTGGTAGCAGCTTCACATTTTTGTAAAGCTTAATCTCATCATTTTTTCAGCTTGGTAGCATTTTCTGAAATGAAAAATAAATATTGTATTGGTACTCTTGTATTCTGATTGTTCTGACTAAACAATATGGTTGATATCTATGAAGAAATAAGATAAGAAGATTCCCCTCAGGTATGATAATGAATAATCCTCACCCGTTTAATTTTTATATTCACCCAAAACTGACCCGATCTCACTTTTCTTCTTCTTGTGATATCGATCGATCTTTAGATCAAGGAGCAGACTCGTCAATACCTAGAAACCCTGGCTGATAGGATTTCAAAGGGTGCCAGATTACTTCCGTTCGGCTCAATAGGTTTGTCCGACATTTCCCTCAATTCCTCGAGAATCTTCTGAAAGAATTCAAACAACTAGAATATTTTTATTTCATTAGAATGAGCTTGGCGAAATATATGAACAATGTTTGAAAAGGTTATGTACCTAGAAGCAAGCGAGACGTTGCTACAGTATCCTTGAAGAAGATTTGTTTTTTAGAGAACAATAGAGAGAAAGCGAGATGATAATAGTGAAGAAAGACGAGAATGGAGTGTTCTGTTTAGGGTAGTAGGTTGTATTTTGTGTTAGTGTCTAAGCTGCTTGTCGGTAGCTGTTTGAGGACTGCTGCTCTTACTTTTAGGAACTTGGACCGCTCCTCTTTTAGCTATATTTGTTTATAGTCGTTTCTGTGTAGAGCAGTTGGCTTTTTATACAAGAAGTGTGTCTGGATTAGTCTCGGTTTCTTCTCTTGTACTATGTGTAACAAGAATGTTCTTACCAGTATTGATCGCTAGGTATCTTCTTGTATTCTGGTTATTGCTGTTGTCGGTGGCTGGTGATAAGTCTAAAGAATAAGTCTTCTGTTAGTTATTTGTCTAGTTAAGTCTTATTCTTGGTCTTGTGCTCACCGCTTGTATCGCTTGGTAAGTTCCTGTTGGAAAATGGTAATGCGATGGGGGATGATAATCGTTCTATCAAGCGGCTGTTTTAAGGTAGACTGAAGTCAGCCTTTGTGCTCGCTTGTGCGTTATCTTGTTTATAGTTTGTTTGCTGCGAACTTACCTCCTATTTGGATTGGAGGTGTCAGCCTTTTCTATCTCGTGGTCTATCGCATTGGCGGATTGATCTTGGTCTGTATATTCCATCTTGGTTAGCTCCTAGCTCTCCTAGATGGTTTATTACATGATTTAGTGATGGTTGCTTACCAAGCACTACCGCATGTTCTGCTTTCTGAGTTCTAACCCTTTTTAGGGTTGGCTCTGTATCTCTAGAGTTTAGATTCCAACAGCCTGGCATGCTTCTAGTCGTTAGATTAGAAGCAGCTTCTGAGACTTGGAGGATGCCAATTGCTGCTAGGGATTTCCTTATGGTTGCACGGCCCAGGGCTTTTGTCAGGAAGTCCGCGATGTTTTCCGTGGTTTTGACGTAGTGCAGTTTGATGAGTGCCGATTGAATGAGCTCCCGAACGAAATGGAGTCTAATATCCATGTGCTTAGTTCTGAAGCTATTTTGCGACGTCTCGCTTTTTGCTAAGTCAATAGCTGCTCTATTGTCGACTGCCACTTCGAAGTTGCTGGACGAAACGTCAACCTCTAGTTCTTTTATCAAGCTTGCAAACCAAGCCAGGTCTCTGCCTAAGTCCGACAATGCTTTGTATTCGGCTTCGGCTGTCGACAAAGAGACTGTGGGCTGTTTGCTGGCTTTCCAGTTGAGCAGGTGGGTTCCTTTAGCTATTACGAAACCTGTCGTTGAGCGTCTGGTATCTAAGCAATTTCCCCAGTCGGAGTCGACGTAGGCTCTGACCGGTGAGTTCAGGTCCTTTTTGTAGGTGAGACCCACGTATTTGGTTCCCAGCAAGTATCGAAACACCTGAACTGCTGCTTGATAATGCTTGATTCCCGGGTTCTCCAAGTATTGTGACAGAGTGCTGACCGCGAAGGAGATATCTGGTCTAGTGAGGATACTTAAGTAGTTCAGGGAGCCGATGAGAGCCCTGTAGTTGACATTCAGAGTCTTTAGCGCTTTGATTTCAGTTGAGGTTGCCCGTTTTAGCGGTTCACGTGGATTCAAAGGGCAAGATGCTGGATGCTGAGTGACGAGATTGTATTCAACGAGTTTTCTTTCGATGTATTGCGTTTGGTTCACCTGTAGGCCATTTTCAAAGCGTTCGAGATTCATCCCGAGTAGAAAGACAGCTTCACCAGGATACTTGATTTCAAATTCCTTTTCCATTTCCCGTCGGAAAAGTTCAGTTTCTTGACTAATAATGACCAAGTCATCAACGTGCGCAAATATCCAGGTGGCTGGTCTGCTTGATGTTTTGCTTCTCCAGAAGACGCAGGGATCTGAGAGAGAGATTTGGAAGTCGATCGACTTGAGGTAGTTTGACAGCCGTTTGTACCAGACTAGGGGCGCTTGTCGCAGACCATAAATCGCTTTGTTCAGTTCAAGCACTGATCCTTCAGGACAGTCTAAGCCGGATGGTGGGAGGAGCGTTACTTTGTCGTCTAGGGGGCAGGTTAGGAACGCGCTGCGTACGTCTAGCTGGTGTATTTTTAGGCCGTTGTTTACTGCAAATGAGAGGAGAAATCTAAGTGATGCCGGCTTGCCGGTTGGTGCGTATTTGGCTTCGAAGTTCAGGCCGTGTGTTTGCTTGAATCCTTGAGCGCAGATCCTTGCCTTCCATTCGATTATTTGATTTTCCGCTCCGAGTTTTTTCCTGTAGGCCCAGGTGGCTGGAATTGGATCATCGGATGGTAGCCTAGTCCGCACCTTCCACACATGATGTTTTAGCATGTTGGCAATCTCTTTGAGTTCCGCCTCCTTCCAGTTCTGGTGATCAGGACTCGCCATGGCTTGCTTGTGTGTCTTCGGGTCACTTGTCACAGTGATCAGAAAAGCGTGTCGGCGGCGTCGTTCATTGATGATGTTCTTAGTGTCTAGTGCACTGGTGATCTCTTTTTGTGGAGGTTCAGTGGTCCAGGCGTAGCGAGGTTTGGTGGCCGGTTGAGGCGTTTCACCTACTTCGTCAATGATTATTGCATTTGTTGAGGCTTTTGGGCTTTCATGTCGGATTTGGTCGATAATCCGATTGATCTCTTCTTCCTCTTCTATGTTGGCTTGTTCTACTGCAGGTAAGTCATGCTCCTCCGTGAAGGGCATGGGTTCTTCTTCAGTGAAGCTCGGTAGCCTGTTGACTCCGTACTCAGTCACACTCTTGTTGAGTGCCGGGCATTCCGGAAAGGTGGCTTCGTCAAAGTGAGCATGCTTGGCCGTGATGACCTGTCTGTCGTCCATGCGGAGGATCCGGTACGAGGAGTAATCATTCTCGTAGCCTATGAAGATGCCTTCCCATGACAATGGGCCTAACTTGGTGTCGCGATTTTCTTTCGGTTTGACAACCCAAGCGCGGCAGCCGAAGGGTCGGAAGAAGTTAATGTTTGGTTTCACTTTGAACATTTGCTCTAGAGGACTGGCTTTGCCTCTCCCTAGGGAAGGAAGGCAGTTGGTCGTCGCCGTAGCCGTTCTGATCGCTTCTCCCCACCATTCTGGGGCCAGATTTGCTTGCATGAGAATGCATCTCGTCATGTCCAGAATGGTGCGATTGGCTCTTTCGGCTATGCCGTTATTTTGAGGTGTGTACGGAGGCGATACATTATGAATTATTCCGTTTTCGGTTAGAATTTCGCTAAGGGTGTTGTTGCAGAATTCTCCTCCTCCGTCGGAAATGAGTTTCTTCAGAGCGTGTCCGGATTGTTTCTCAAATAAACGCTTGAATTTGTTGATTTCTGAGGTGGATTGGTCTTTGGTTTTGAGTATCGCGGTATGGATGTAACCTGTGAACTGGTCAACCAATGTAAGGAAGTATCTGGCTCCTCCGTTAGTTGAGGGAGTTATTGGGCCGACTAGATCGGCATGGACCGCTTCGAGAGGAGCATTCACTGGCTTGAAGGAACTCTTAAAACTTTGTTTGGTAAGTTTTCCTAGCATACAGGCTGAACAGGCGTGCGTCTTGTTCATTGCGATTTGTTCGGGTAGTGCTCTAGATATTCTACCGGAGCTGGCATGGCCAAGTCTATTGTGCCATTTGACGAAATCTGATAGTTGTTGATGGTGTGTGGTTAGAAAACCGGAGGGAGTAGGTGGTTTTGGATCAACTATTTTCAGTTCCAGCAGATCGTTCGACGTGTCAGCGGTGAATGGTGGATTTGAGTCGACTATTACTTGACAATTTCCATTGGCGATGTTGATATGGACGTTTTGTTTCATTAGTTGTATCATCGAAACAAGGTTTCTTGACAAGTTTGGTACGTAAAGGGCTTCCTTCAGTGTCAAGATTTGTCCGTCTTCAAGAGTGAGCTTGGCGGTTCCTCTTGCTGTTGCAGTGAGTTCGCCAGCGCCACCGCCAGTAAGTATGCTGATTTGGGTCGGGGTAGTGTCGATGAAAAGGTCGAGAACATTGATCATGTGATTGCTTGCCCCGGAGTCTAGGACTGTCGGAAGCTTAGTAGTTGGACTTCTCGTGGTGTGGTACGCGAAGGCGGGTCTGATCGTTGCGAGTTCAGGGTCTTTTTCTTTAACTACAGTGTGGTAAGTTGAGGGTCTTGCCTTTTTAGCCGCGTGATACTCTTCTCTCTTTTCAGGGTGAACGGTCCAGCATTCGGACTCAGGGTGATGGTAATCGGCGTCAGAGTTGTGTTTTCCGTTTTTGCATTGAACTTTCAGTTTCGGTTTTCGTTTCACGTTTGTGGCTAGGGCTGTAGAGGCTGGCGGGTTTTCTGGCACGATCTGCTTTCTCATCGCCTTCTCGTGACGACCGATGTCCCTGAGTTTGGCTATGATCATTTTCGGTTTTGATAGTGCTCCGATGTCTGAAAATAGCGTCTGCATCAGCAGAGGACGTTTTTTAGTGATTCGGCCGATTATTCCACAACTGATTATTTCATCCGGAATCTTGATGCCGATGGAGCTGAATTCGGAGAGACTTTTGAGCATTGCATTTATATACTTGTTCATGTCGTTTTCGAATTGTATGTCCTCCCATTTATTCCAAACTTGAAAGATAGACAGCATTGAATCGCTTGCGTAGATGTCTTTAATAGCTGTCCAAATTGCAAAGGGTGCCTTTTCGTTTTCTTCAGTAATGGTGCTAGTGAAGATCAAGTCGTCAATGCCGTGTGAAAGGATGTTGCAGACTCGATTTGCTTTATTCTTGGTAGTCTTGTCGGCGTCTTCTTTCAATGCGGAGTCAATAAATTCCTCCAGTTCTCTTGCTCGCAAGTGCATCCTAATCTTGCGCACCCAGATCGGGTAATTGTCGCCGTTGAATTTTGGAACATTGACCGTGTCTTTGTCAACGTTGTAGACTTCTTTTTCCTCTTTGTCACCGTCTTTGTCTTTGGATCGAGTGGTAGGAGCTGATACTGATGGGGCCATCTCGACTTGCTTCTAGCTGTTGATGGTCGTAGGTGTGAGACTCGAGACTGTAAATCTGAAAGAATTCAAACAACTAGAATATTTTTATTTCATTAGAATGAGCTTGGCGAAATATATGAACAATGTTTGAAAAGGTTATGTACCTAGAAGCAAGCGAGACGTTGCTACAGTATCCTTGAAGAAGATTTGTTTTTTAGAGAACAATAGAGAGAAAGCAAGATGATAATAGTGAAGAAAGATGAGAATGGAGTGTTCTGTTTAGGGTAGTAGGTTGTATTCTGTGTTAGTGTCTAAGCTGCTTGTCGGTAGCTGTTTGAGGACTGCTGCTCTTACTTTTAGGAACTTGGACCGCTCCTCTTTTAGCTATATTTGTTTATAGTCGTTTCTGTGTAGAGCAGTTGGCTTTTTATACAAGAAGTGTGTCTGGATTAGTCTTGGTTTCTTCTCTTGTACTATGTGTAACAAGAATGTTCTTACCAGTATTGATCGCTAGGTATCTTCTTGTATTCTGGTTATTGCTGTTGTCGGTGGCTGGTGATAAGTCTAAAGAATAAGTCTTCTGTTAGTTATTTGTCTAGTTAAGTCTTATTCTTGGTCTTGTGCTCACCGCTTGTATCGCTTGGTAAGTTCCTGTTGGAAAATGGTAATGCGATGGGGGATGATAATCGTTCTATCAAGCGGCTGTTTTAAGGTAGACTGAAGTCAGCCTTTGTGCTCGCTTGTGCGTTATCTTGTTTATAGTTTGTTTGCTGCGAACTTACCTCCTATTTGGATTGGAGGTGTCAGCCTTTTCTATCTCGTGGTCTATCGCATTGGCGGATTGATCTTGGTCTGTATATTCCATCTTGGTTAGCTCCTAGCTCTCCTAGATGGTTTATTACATGATTTAGTGATGGTTGCTTACCAAGCACTACCGCATGTTCTGCTTTCTGAGTTCTAACCCCTTTTAGGGTTGGCTCTGTATCTCTAGAGTTTAGATTCCAACATCTTCAACTAAAAAATCGGTTCTTCGATCATGCAATAGCTTCTGGCTTGGCCTTACGTAATTCGGACATGGACCTATGTTATTTGGCCGAGCCAGGAAATAAGATCGACAACAAGTCAGAAAAAGAAGGATCTGGTGATCCTAATACTACCGAGAGTAGTAGTAGTAGTAGTCTTGATACTAAAGAGACCGACGTCCACCCAACGCCTCTTCAACACCCGCAACCGATGAGGGATCCTCCTCTGTTCCTCCCGATTTTTATTTATTATTTATCCTGTAATATTTCAATTGAGTGTTTTCTATCCATCTTACTAGTCCCATCAGCCACTGTGACCAAAAAAACTGGATCTCTCATTGGCTTTCAAGCACAGCAAAATGGGGGGGCTAATAATGAACCTAGAAACTGAGGTTTTCCAAACCGAGGCGTTAGGGCACGACCAACGTGAACTAACAAGTGAGCAGAAGCAAGCGAACCTGAGGTTTTCCAAACCGAGGCGTTAGGGCACGACCAACGTGAACTAACAAGTGAGCAGAAGCAAGCGAACCTGTGGCGGTTGAGGCGAACAACAAAGATGTGTGAGAAGAGAACCGACACAGAGATGAAAGCTAGAGAATCTGATCGATTTCATTTCTAACCTGAGGTTTTCCAAACCGAGGCGTTAGGGCACGACCAACGTGAACTAACAAGTGAGCAGAAGCAAGCGAACCTAGAAGAAATGAAAGATGAGAAAACAACAACGCAGAGAAGAAGAAGGAGAAGAGAATGAAGAGAACAGACCTGTGGCGGTTGAGGCGAACAACAAAGATGTGTGAGAAGAGAACCGACACAGAGATGAAAGCTAGAGAATCTGATGAAGAAAAAAGGAAAACAACTTTTAGAAGAAAAGAAACCCCTTATATATTCCTTCCACCAGATGAGCTAGGTTTCGAACCTTGTTTGTCTCATTCCTCCACGTGCCCAACTGTGCCGCAGCGGGGTGAGAATGAATCCCCCGGACCTTCAGTTCAACATCCCCCCTCATTCTCAACCCGATAGGTTGATTCCCTCTATGCATGACATGTGCTTAACTTTGCAGAGTGATTTGGTCAAAAAATCGGCTAGATTTGAGTGAGTGGAAATATATTGAGGTGATATAGTCTTGTCCGTTACTTTCTCGCGAATCCAGTGAAGATGAACCCTGAAGTGTTTGGTTCTATCGTGAAACACCGTATTTTTGGACAGAGCTATAGCAGCTTGATTGTCACATAGCACCCGAATAGGACCTTGATTAGGGATTCCAAGACATTCAAGAAGTCGAATCATCCAGACTGCCTCTCGTCCGCCTTCATAAAGAGCAGTGTATTCGGCTTCTGTAGTGGATGACGAGACTGTGGGATTCTTCTTTGATTTCCATGAGACAACTCCGCCGCCAACAAGAACCAGATAAGAGAAATATGAGTATGAGTTAATCTTGTCGTTGGCGTGATCAGCATCCACGTAGATCTGTATCGGCGAGACAGATGCACCAAGAGTTAGACCCCTACTAGACGAGCCGCTGAGATACCGAAGTAGATGAATACAGGCTGCCCAGTGCTTGGATCCGGGAGTTTCGAGAAATTGGGACAGTTGAGACATTGCGAAAGCTATGTCTGGGCGAGTCGAAACAGCTAGATAGTTGAGTAATCCTATAGCCCGTCTGTAATTGATTCCCATAGATTGAAATTCCGCCTGTTCTTGAGGAGTGGCTGGGACCAAGCGCGTATTGGGAACAAACGGTGTAGATACCGTCCGACAATTTTGCATACCGTATGTATCCAGGATTTTGTTGGTGTAGTTGTCCTGAGATAACCGAATGGAGTTTCCAACTTTAGCAATTTTCATGCCAAGAAGATGTCGAAGTGGACCGAGATCTTCCATAAGGTATCGCTCAGAGATCAATTTCTTGAAGCGGTTTACATCCTTACTGACTATAACCATATCATCGACATACACGTGAACCCAGCATTTCCAGGTTGGATCATCCGATGAGAATAGACACGGATCGGCACTTGAAGGTGAGAATTTAATCGACTTGAAGAATGAAGATAATTCGTGATACCATACACGCGGGGCCTGTTTGAGTCCGTATATCGACTTTAGAAGGAGAAGACATTTGCCTTTTGGAACGGATAGTCCCGCAGGGGGTCGGAGATAAATGGTTTCATCGAGTTTGCCGTTTAAGAAGGCATTCTTGACGTCCATTTGGTGAATGTCCAGACCAGTTGCGACACCCATGGAAAGAAGAGTTCGAAGAGCGGTTGGACGTCCGGTTGGAGCGTAAGTTTCAGCGTAGTTGAGACCTTCCACTTGAAAATTACCGGCGGCACACAGTCTGGCTTTGTATTTTGATAGCTGACCGTTCTCGTCAAATTTTTTACGAAATATCCATACAGTGTTGAGCAACTCTACCCCTGCAGGAATATCAACCACTTTCCATACTCCCAACCTTTCCATAGCAGACAATTCCGCAGAGATGGCCTCAACCCAGCTCGCCGAATCCGGATTCTTCATGGCTTGCGAGTAAGTCTTCGGGGCCTCTGAGGTTTGATCGAAGAATTGGGCTCCCGCCAGAAAGCATTGAACATGAAAATCAAAATCTTCATCCGCAATTGTCAGATGTGCCCTTCTTTTGGTGTTGACTATGTTCGATTGATCAATAGCCGAACTGATGTCCTTCGGGGCTTTCTGATTTATTGGCTGAAGTACAATGTCGTAACCTGGTCGCGATTGAGATGTTGATGGCAGTGGGATTTCGGGAGAATTGAGAGGGAGTTCATCGGAGCGATTGGGTTCCTCTGGACTGGTTAGACGTCTATTGATTTCGTCATCCGAGTCATCCGAAAGTTCAATTTCGACCGGTATTTCTTGATTTACTGGTGATTCTTCAGTGTCGGATTCCAAGTTTTCGGAGAGAATGTCCATGGGAGAAATAAGACCAGCTGGATCAAAGGTGGAGATTCCTGGATATAAAGTCTCGTCGAAATTGACATCGTGACTTAACTCCACACGTTTGTCCTCAGTCAGGATGCGCCAGTTATGCATCCCTAGCTGGTATCCGATCATGATGCCCTTTTTCGATGTGTCTGAAAATTTTGCCGTACGTTTTTGATCGGGAATGTTAATGTAGGCTTGACAACCGAATGATCGAAGACGAGAGTTGTCAAACAATTGGTGGAACCAGAGTTCATAGGCCGTCTTCCAATGCTTCTTACGAGTAGGAGTGATATTTTCAAGGAATACTGCCGCTTCAACTGCATGACCCCACATTGAATGAGGAAGCTTGGCCTGTTTGAGAAGAGCCCTCGCTTTTTCAGTTGTCGTCCTGTTGCCCCTCTCCGCAACCGGATTTTGTTGAGGGGTATAGGGAGCAGTGATATGCGATTCAACTCCTTTAGATTTAAGAAACTCTTTGAACTCGTTCGAGTTAAACTCGCCTCCTCCGTCGGTTGTGATGTGTTTGATTGGCCGAGAGTGAAGTGTGGTGACATTGTTATAAAATTGCTCAAAGAATGAAAATGCTTCTGATTTCTTCTTTAAAAGATAAACAAATTTATAAGAAGAGAATTGATCGGTTATTTTAAAATAGTATTCATAGCCTTCTGATGTGGGAGGGTTAATACGACCACTGAGATCAAAATGAATATATTCGAGACAATGAGTGGATAAGGGAAGAGTCCCGGAGTATGGCAAGCGATGAGATTTGGATAATGAACATGCTTCGCAGTTGATTTTAAAGTCTGAAAGATTAAACATTCTTTTTAAGGAGTCGTTGCTTGGATGCCCCGCCCGCCTGTGAAGAAGTTCGATGTCAGAATTTGATTTCGAAGTAACATCGGTCGAGAGAAAGGACTTGCCTTTGACTATCTCGAGGTCGATTGTAAAGACGTCTTGATCGTTGAGGTTAACGTTGAATAGTGTTTCGCCTTCATTGACTAGTTTCGCTGAGAGAGGACCGGTCCGGACACGATCGCATCCCCTTCTAAACAGTTGTCCTTCAGAGATCAAGTTCCCAACTAACTGAGGTACGTGCAAACATTCCAACTTAAGTGATTGGCCGGAGACTGTCTTGACGTATACATTTCCGATACCAGGACATAGTGTCGTTTTGCCGTCAGCAAGCTCAATCTTGCATTTGGAGTCGGTCGAGTACGTTGAGAAGGAGGATCTGTCTGATATCATGTGGTGCGAAGCACCGCTGTCCAGGTAGGCTACATTTGGAGCTAGCTTCACCGAGAAAGCTTTCTTGATTGTGTGCCATGCAACACTAGAGGTTGATGATTCGTCCTCTTCGGCCTGGGCTTTCTTGGCTTTGGCTTTAGCTTTGGCCCGACGTTTCTCCATACGAGGACGTTGCTCGGGATAGACTTGAAAACATCTGGATTCAGGATGATGAGCAGCCGGATTGTGTATACCGTTTTCGCATTGAGGATCCGAACTCGACGAATGGGAGATTGTTTTCATGGCAGATTCTTCCGTCTTGATGCGAACAGACGGGTCATCGAGTCTTCTGTTGTCCAGAAGCGATTGAAGTTTTTCGACAGTGAGGGGTCGTCCTTGAATAAGAACTTCTCGAGTATGAACCAGATCAGAGGGAATCTTCTGTAGAACGTTCTCGCAAAACAGGTTTTCATGTATTTCGAAGTCGGTAGGAATTCCGATTCGTAGTCCGACAGCATTGAGACGACTTATGTGATTCGTCAACTCAACAATGAATCCTTTGATGTCGTTTCCTTTGAACTTGAAGGTGAGGAAGTCGTTGTACACTTTCGCTTGATTGGAGATAGCCGTGGATTGGTAATGACTTTCGAGTTTCAGCCACATTGCCCGAGGATCATCTTTAGTGTCCTTAGTCTTGAACTTCTGGTAATTCGTTATACCCATGTATTGTTGAAGGACTCCGGATGCTTTCAATTTCCGAGATTTGAACGATTTGAGTTCAGCGACATCGGTTGGATCGGCTTCATTAGAGGAAATGAACGAATAGAGATCATGTTGTTTCATGTATCCTTCGATGAGCATGCTCCACAGATCCCAGTTCAAGTTGGAGAGAGTAGGAATTGAGGGATTCGAGTGTTTGTCATTCATGATGGCGTGCGTAGGTCAAGGTTAGATCGAGATGGCAGTTAAAGCTCCTCTGGGCTCATAACCTAATGAACCTAGAAACTGAGGTTTTCCAAACCGAGGCGTTAGGGCACGACCAACGTGAACTAACAAGTGAGCAGAAGCAAGCGAACCTGAGGTTTTCCAAACCGAGGCGTTAGGGCACAACCAACGTGAACTAACAAGTGAGCAGAAGCAAGCGAACCTGTGGCGGTTGAGGCGAACAACAAAGATGTGTGAGAAGAGAACCGACACAGAGATGAAAGCTAGAGAATCTGATCGATTTCATTTCTAACCTGAGGTTTTCCAAACCGAGGCGTTAGGGCACGACCAACGTGAACTAACAAGTGAGCAGAAGCAAGCGAACCTAGAAGAAATGAAAGATGAGAAAACAACAACGCAGAGAAGAAGAAGGAGAAGAGAATGAAGAGAACAGACCTGTGGCGGTTGAGGCGAACAACAAAGATGTGTGAGAAGAGAACCGACACAGAGATGAAAGCTAGAGAATCTGATGAAGAAAAAAGGAAAACAACTTTTAGAAGAAAAGAAACCCCTTATATATTCCTTCCACCAGATGAGCTAGGTTTCGAACCTTGTTTGTCTCATTCCTCCACGTGCCCAACTGTGCCGCAGCGGGGTGAGAATGAATCCCCCGGACCTTCAGTTCAACAGCTAAAACTTATGGTCTACCTAATTTCAACACCTCTAGCTTACCTCCTTGCCTTTTGGGTCGAGCGAGTCATAAACATCAGTGGGTATCCTGCTGCAACTTACCCAGCCATGCCAAACTGTGCCAAGTATGGTCCGACCAAAAACTTAGAAAGAATGCCCACAAGACTGAGGCCAACAGACTGGCTTTCCATCCAACACTCTTCCTGTGGTTGACTGATTGGAACAATGTGACAGTAAATGACCACTCTATACACAGCAGGGAATCAGGGGCTTGTGCTTGCAAGCTTGAATTCCTTTTAGTCCGATCCCTCTGGAGACCTTTGGATCATTGTGAAGGCATTGAGCCTTCACATTTTGTTACTGTCCCCCCACCCCCCTCTTACTCCTTGCACCAATAAGCAAGAAGCAATGGCTGTACATTGTGGTAGAAATCCATACATTCACCAATATTCCTCCCTGAATTCACATAAGAATAGTTAGAGAATATGTATGTAGTGATCCAGAAATCCACAAATGACCTTAAGAATGCAGGTCCATGTAGGCAGTGGCAGAAAAGAGAAGGCATAGATGATCTTGCATACTTGTTTCAATACATTTCAGGTGTTCCCTATCACTTGAGTGTTTTCATCAAGGTGTGGACTCGTGGAGAGGTGATCACTCCATGGATTTCAAGACTTGACTTTTGGTACAAGCCTCTCTGTCCTTTGGGCCCTCACTGAAAGGCATGGGGTGAGGCTTGTAGATTAGCCACGCAGCAGACAAGGGAAAAAAAAGAAAAAGGAAATGGCAAGCCAAAAAAAAGGCTGCAAAAGCTGCATGCAGGTGTATATCTATGTGTGTATGGATAGACATGTAATATTTTATACATGACAGACATTGATTCTTAGTTATGTTCAGTGTATAAAGGAAAAGAAATCATATGCATATATATGAATATATGTATATATATTATGATTTTGTTGTTGATGTTTTATTTAGATTTTTTTTGTTAAAAAAAAGAAAAAGAAAAGATAAAAAAGGAAGATAAAAAAGGTGTGACAAAATAAAAGAAATAGAGAGAGAAGAAAAAAAGTAAAATTATTATGAAAAAAAAAAAAAATCCTAGTGAGAAGACCAAAGGAACTGAGGAGGAACAGGAACAGCAACAACAAAACAAACAAACAAAGAAGATCTAGAAGAAGACAGGAAGATCAAAGCACAAGATATCTAGAGAGATAGATAGATTGAGAAAGAGAGATATCTAGACTAAGAGAGAAATAGAGAAAGAGAGAGAGATAAAGCGTTAAAGAGGAACTAAAGGACAGGATGATCGAGTTGAGGAAGAACAGGATCAGTAGAAACCGAGGAAGAAGGAGGAGGAGGGGAGCCCGAATAAAGGCCAGATAAGCCGGAGCCTGCCGGCAGGGTTGACGTGCGGACTTTGGGTCCTTGATCATTCAGTGGGGGAAAGTCGCTGTCGACGAGTCGGACGGGGGGACTGGGAAGGACAGTATCCGGACGGTCCTCGGAGGATGGAAGTGTTCTAGGCGATCGCTTCTGTCGATCTTTGCTGTGGTTAGCACTCCGACTGCTACCACTGCCGCTGCTATTCCTGCGTGAACAGAGCTCGCGATCTACGGCAGCCTGCGGGGCAAGATTGGTACTCTGAGATAGTCCGGTGCGATCCTGAGCCTCAACAGGCGTCGAACGGCCAACAGACCCAACGTTCTTTGATTGCTGCTCGCCGATAGACACAGGCACGGAAGAGTCTCCTTCGATCGGGGTGGACACTTTCGATGGACCCTTCTGGCTCGGCTGACTGCTGCGGGCGCTACTGGACCGGCTCGAATGAATCAGCTCAGTCTTGGCACTGGTCGCATGAGTTGACAACTCGGAGGCGGTTCGCGCAGCTCTGCTCCGCCCTTCGAGGCTCCTAGGACTGTTGTTGCCAGTGTTGGTTGAGCCGGAAGACAGCACGTTGGCAGCGCCTTCAGCTCGGCGCGACGAATGACTATTCAGCGATCCCATCCGCCGTGTTCGAAGCACCGCCGCAAGCGCCTTGACCCGGACCTCTTTGGCCGTTTCAGTGGATACCTCGACATCCCCAAAGACGATCTTCCGAGGTAGTTGAGACAACGATGAGGTCGAGGGCACGCATCGAGCAAATGAGGGTGTCGAAGTATCGCGATTCCGACTGTGTTCAGACGACTCCCTCATCCGCGTCGATTGACCACCCACGCACGTAGGCGAATGACTCGACCTCGCCCGCGGCGTCTCAACGCCTGGTCGATTCTCTTCCTCATTCTCTAACAGGCTGGAACGCGGCTTGGATAGCTGATCAAATGATATGGTCGATGAATGGGTGGAAGTTGCTCCATTTGATAATGAGCGCTTTCTGGCAGATTCATTGACAGCCGCCAAAAACATGCCCTCCCGCTGCGGATCATGACTTTGCCAGGAAGTTTGATACGCCCGTTGGGACGCTGGCTGGTCTTCAGAGGTTCCATCTGGACGCTGCGATGAGATCATATCCTGAGGCAAAGACATCATCTGATGACTACTCAAATCTTGCTGTTGGAATGATGTGGAAGGATAGCCGTTGGTCTGATGGTAATAACCAGACGGAACAGACCGTCCCAAAACCCGTTGCGGGTTGTCGAACTTCTGTTTTGGTAGTCTCTCTGTTGTTCCGAAATTCCCAAACCTGATTGGGCCTGGGAGTGGTAACAGGGAGAAATCTGGCATCCGGCCATTAGAAGACATGATGATTGGAGGGCCTGTTGAATTGAGTAGAGATTGATGCGACGACTGAGGCTGTTCACTCCGTCTTCGAGGATTCATAGTGCTATGTGACATACTTCTTGGTGGACGCCCGCTGTTGATTGCCTGGCTATTGTAACGTGATTTGCTGCTCGATGATGTTGAAGCATGTAAGCCACGGGAGTTTGACCCAATATCGTCTCGGTTCATATCAGATGCAGCAGCTTTTTGACGGCGACCCCCAGAGGAATGCTTAGGTATTGAGGTCGGACTGAGTGGCAGACCTGGGTCAAGTGATTCGGAGTCATACAAGAACGCGGGCGAGGAGGTCATGCTGGATTGATGCAGAGAGTTTGAGGTAGATGCCTGAGGATTCCAATTCTCAGTTCCGGATGTTTGAAAAAACCGATGAAAGTAATGTTGTGCGCCAGCTGGTGCAGCTGAAGTGGTTGATTTGGAAGGCTTGAATGTGTCTGAGACATGAGGAGCAGGGTGAGACAAAGATTGGGGGTTATTGGAAGGCGGCTGTTGTAGTTGTTGCTGTTGGAGTTGCAATTGTTGAATTTCGTTCGACAGATAGCCACTGATGGACTCATGATTCCAGTCTAGATCACGATCCAGTGGTGGTGGCTCTGAGGCAATACTTTCAGGCGGGTAGCGAGGTCGAGCGTCCATCGATGAGGTAGCTTGGCTGTAGATATGGTCTTGCATCAGCCTGGTTGTGAGGGGTGGGTACGAGGGTTGATGCTCAGCGCTCAAGAGCGCCTGTTGTTGCTGTTGAAGTAGTAATTGCTCTTCTAGGTCATCTTCCTCTTCTTCTTCTTCGCGAGTGGTGCTACCAGAAACGCCTGATTATATTGAAAGGGTAAGTCAGCAGGGTTCAGATGATCAAGTTCCGGGATTGGGGACGTACTCATGTTAAGGGAAGCCTTGGGGTTGGGCGCAGATTTTCGTCGTCCTGAGCTGGAAGGAGGGGCCATCAAGACACCTTCTTGCCTCTCTTCGCAAAGCTCCCTGATCATGACATCGAGCCGATCAGTCCGAGTGGACAAGACCCTCACAGCTCGCATGAATTCTCCTCGGATCTGCGGGAATGATGTCTCAGTACCCGGTAGCATACGGAAGGACGATCTCCATTTTTGGCAGGGTATATTATTCAAACCAAAACCTCACAGTGAACAATCCATCCCGTGTAACGGTACGCGCGACGTTATAATTTGTTTGGAAAGGGTCCTAAATGAACAAAAAAAAATCAAACATGAAACATATCAAGATCAGCAAACCTGGGAGCAAAACTAAAAAAGCATTGAAAGGATACCGACTTCGATGCACAACCGATTCAGATCGATCTTCAAGAACCCGCCGCGGCCATCTTTACTTTCCTCGATGATATCGTGCATCCAGCCTTTCGATTCTTTGCTCAACAAGCCTCCCGGCGTGCGCACGCTGATGACATCATGAGTGTACCGAAACGAGCTGGAGAAGAAACGGAAAAACTCGATCAAGAGTTCGCCGACATTTTCCCGATTCATTCCCACCCAGAAGCGGGGTAAGGCATCCAGATCGTCAAAAAAGTAGATGTCGTGTCCTTCATAAACTGTATCCTCTGGTGGCGTTACTCTTGGCGGAGGAAGCTGCTGCAGGTTTCTGTTTTGATTGTATACATATGTACACGAAGAAGCAGGTATGGCTCCATCGTTAGCCCAAACGAGAAAGTGGATGATGCTTTGGGAATTTACTGACGGTAACACAGGCGCTTTCCGGCCGTTGACGAGGTAATAGATGACCATCAAAACGTATCCATAAGAACTTAGGGTTCCCAAGTATGGATCATTGATTCGCCGCCGCTTGGACCAGACTTTGACTAAGACCCGATCAGAGCGAGATGACAAGATAGAATCAACGGAGGTGGATGGCTAGATTTATCTATTCCGTGAACGGCTTACGAAATAAGACCATGGTCCGCATCCGCGGATCAACCATGGCGTAGGTGAGTAAGAGTCTAGTATTTTCAAGAGCCAAACGGTTTTCAAATCCGATATCACAAGATAATCCAAACGGTTGACCTAAAGAGGGAGGTAGAGAGAGTTTGATGATCGGAATCCGAGCTTTCGGAAGCATCTTGACCGTGAACGCAGTTTCTAAGAATTAAAGATTACAACAAGAAAGTAAGAGTTATTTTGGCCGATTCAATACAGAGTGGACTCATGCTAAACAAATTTTTGTCTGAATCTCACAAACCTTCTTGAATCAGTTTCCCAAGAATCATCACCATCTCGGCTGGAGTGGGTTTAGGTTTCTGCTCTTTATCTTCTTCTTCCGGCAGGTCAGTTTTCTGATTTGAGGTGACGGGAGGAACAGAGGAGGATCCGTCATCGGTTGGGGGTGTTGAAGAAGGCGTTGGCTTTACGTCGGTTTCTTTAGTATCAAGACTACTACTACTACTACTCTCGGTAGTATTAGGATCACCAGATCCTTCTTTTTCTGACTTGTTGTCGATCTTATTTCCTGGCTCGGCCAAATAACATAGGTCCATGTCCGAATTACGTAAGGCCAAGCCAGAAGCTGTTGCATGATCGAAGAACCGATTTTTTAGTTGAAGATTCTCGAGGAATTGAGGGAAATACCGGACAAACCTATTGAGCCGAACGGAAGTAATCTGGCACCCTTTGAAATCCTATCAGCCAGGGTTTCTAGGTATTGACGAGTCTGCTCCTTGATCTAAAGATCGATCGATATCACAAGAAGAAGAAAAGTGAGATCGGGTCAGTTTTGGGTGAATATAAAAATTAAACCGGCGAGGATTATTCATTATCATACCTGATATTCTTCGGGTGTAGGGAGGACAGATGGGAGGAAGACTTGGGTGATGTAGGTCGCCAGATCGGCCATGTGTTGCTGGTAGTAAGAGAGTTGATGAGCCTGGACGGCCTGGAGTTGGGCTTGAACTTGAGCATGGGCACGAGCTTGGGCCTGCTGATGTTGATGCCTGAGTGCGGTAGTCGTCGTTGGGGTGGTTGTGGTTGTTGTATTTGATGATGCCCGTCGATTGGAGTTGGACGGGCGAGGCTCCCGATGGGGTCCGGAATGATGCTGGTGGTGGTGGTGATGGCTGTGGTGGTTGTGGTGATGGTGGCTCTTGGTACTGCTGGTGGAGTATGAGTTGTGTGGGTTGTTGGTCGGAGAGCTGGAGGAGGTCGATGGGGCGGTATGGTTCGGATGTGGTAGGTTGATAGAGGCAGAGTTAGAAGTTGACCAGGGAGTGTTATTCTGAGCTGGGAGTGAGGGGGATAGAGGAGATGGGCTAGATTGTTGTTGTTGTTGTTGCGGTTGCTGAGTAGATAATTTTGAAGCAGAAGTGAGAGTTGAGGGTTGTTGTTGTTGACTGTTATTATTGCTGCTGTTGGTCGTTGCGGTTGTTGGTGAGGTGGTTGTTGTTGTGGTTGGTGCTGTTGCTTCTGCTGTTCCTGTTTTTTTGGGTGTTGGATTCTTTGTTGGTGAGGATGAGGTTGAGGTTGAGTTGGAAGTGGTTGAGTTTGCAGATGAGGATAGATTCTTGTTCTTCTGATGATGATGATGGTGATGCTGCTTTGAGGGTGACATGTTGTTTTCCTGTTTCCCACTATCTCCTTCTTCTCCTTCTTCTTCTTCTTCTTGTCCTTCTCCTTTACTTTACTCCTTGGGTTTTTTGGTAGTGATGGTGGTGTGATGGTGATGGTCAACAGGAGAGTGAGAGGTTGGTTGGTTCTCTTTGGAAATGGTCAACAGAGGAGAGTGAAGGTGGTCGAGTGCTGTTCGGCAGTCGTCTTAAATACATAGCCTATAGCCCATCTGCTGGTTTAATTCCCTTTTCTGACTTTTTAACCCTTTCTGCCCAATCAAATTCGTCTACTAAAAAACTCGCCACAGTCGAACATTCTATCACAATCGTATTATCATCACTACCGGAATGATAACAGCTTAAGATCTCATATTGAAAGCTTTCTGGTTATTTAGGTAAGAAGCTGTAAATAACTCTGTGTGTATCTTGCCTACAACAACCCAGTCCTGATCTATCAACATCTCATCCACACCCTTTCTCTCCGGCCGTGGTGTATGATCCGACGACCGGCGTTTGAGGTATCAGACCAAGTGGAGACCAGCTCAAGAAGGGCTCCACGTTAATGAATAAATCACTTATTTATCTACCCAAGTACATACAATTGAGGTTAAAACTGCATATTTATGTATTTTGTACTTGAGCAACAGTACGTTTACATATAAGGATGTGGTCTATCGATCAAAGGAAATTCAATCCACGCCATCTAACCGACAACCTCCTAGTCACAATGCTCCAACAACCGGCCATCAAGTACCCACAGCTTTTCAGAATCAGGAAAAAAATCGTAAGGAAGGATAACAGATAGTCAAAATAAGAGGAGTGCTGGAAGAAAATTTGACTAGAAGGAATCTATCCAAATCGGACTATCAGCCAGGCAGGAGACTGGTGGTCTCTCTACAAACCACAATCTTGAGCTCTATGACCACTTCATAGGAAAATTGGTCAGCTGTTTATAGGCTCATAGAGGAATGTCCAATGAATTTCTACTGCTGTAAAATCACTATGGCATTAACACACAAATGTCAATTTTAAGCAACCTATATTAGCACAGCCCACATGATCTGTTTTGGCACTATACAGTATAGAGCTCTGTAAACATCAGCAAAATCAGTGTAAGGCTTTGTGATATTTGCTAGGGTGGGTCTTGCTGGCCTTAAAGTCTTGCTAATCTCAACAAGTCTTTGAGCTAAACGTTTTTCAGTGAAGTTTAATAAGCTTTAACACTCTCCTGGTAAAATATACCAGCAGATTTTGGTTTTAATATGACTTAATGAACAACTGCCCCATTAAATTGATGTATGCAGTAGTCATCCATGATGAATAGTTGATTTAAGAGTACCCAAATCAAAACAGGCAGAAACATGACAACTGATCAGTTAGAATGCTCAACAAATAAACCCTGGTTGTATGCTTGTGGCTTACATTCATCCCACATACTCAAGCACCTCCTGTCAGATCTGGGACCCTCACAGATGTTGATTTAGAGTTAGACCCAAAAAGTCTAGGATTTTGCCCAGAAATCTAGCTTTTGAGGCTCTATCTAAATTGCTTCTGGGAGACCTGCAGATATTGATGGGAAGCTTTCCATTTGCTGTCTTTTTCTGCCCTTATCTGCAAGTCTAACTCAGGTTGGTGATATGTAAATGCAAGTCAAGATGGCCACCTCTGCATCAAATTGACCATTCAACTCAAACTAACATCATGGCTTGAATCAATCTTGTACAAAACTGGATCCATATTGATTCAAGAAAAGAGCACAAAAACCATTTACTCTCACAAGAAGAAATTCAAAGCAAAAAAAGGTGTGATCTATGTACAGTAGGGGTGAGGATGTGTCAGCTCTGGTCTCTTATGTGACCTAGAGTTGATGGGTTTTGGTCACACTTTAGCCAAAAAGGGCCAGTGGAATTGAGCCTCTCCTCAACACTAATATAGTGGAGGGGCTAGCTCCTTATAATAATAAGGGACAACTGTGGGATGAGCTTCACAGTGCCTGAGCTGAAGGATTATAAGGAAATTGAGGTTTGTACTAGTCTTATAAGTTAAATATGTAACTTATAAGGCTAGTAAGAAGATAAAGAGAAAGGTAATAACTAAGATACAATAATTTACTGTAAAAACCCCACTCACTAATTTATATGTATTATAGTAAGGTACTTGGGTTTGTATGGTAATATTGTCTGGGGGATGAATCTCAGGGGGAGAAGCATCCTCTTAAATATTACAGAGCAGGGGTCAATTCTGCTGCTGGGACGGTGCAGTCCCCTTATTGTTACACTTTTCTTGGGGGAAGTGTCAGGATAT